GCAAAGAAAAAGGACCTCTATGTTCAACACAGAGTACACAATCTAAATGTTCATACATACCTTTTCAAGCATTCTGACTCGTTAAGAAATGATAACAAGAACGCCATTGCTGTCGATTAGTCGCCATATCCTTTAATGTCNCAACCTGGAAGACGGGAGACACCGATTGTACCTAATCGCTCTGTGCATTTCTTCATGCCTCACTTCCACGTCATCTGTTGACCTCCACGCGGTTTCTTCCAACCGGGAGCCGCAATTGCGAATGGGGCGCGGTGCGGCAGACGATGGCTGGGCATACGCAACACGTGTCCTAACCAGCGAAGGCGACTAAATTGAATTCGATGGGACAACCAATTCTCCATCGAATCATTACCAAATACGCGATGCCTCACCTGAGAGTTGCTTAGAAGCTCGCTCCATCCAACCAGCGCCAAACTGCGTGAACATCTGCAGTCGAATACTTCAAGACGACGAATATCTTCCACACGCAAATTTAGGGTCTCGCAACCATAGCGCAGAACTGGCCGCACACTGGCACAGTATACGCGACCTTTCAGTTTCAACGAAACATCGCGTCTGCATCAAAGGTGTTTCAATCCTGCGTAAGCTGCTCGAGCCTCGGAAATGCGGGAAGTTACTTCATTTACTATGCTACCGTCATAAGTACTTGAAACATTCCACTACAGCTAATTCTTGACCAAGCATCAGCGCTTGGGTTGACGACACCCAGTCTTGCAGCATCACTTTGCACTTTGAAGATGCAAAGCGCATACCGAAAGGAGACACAGAACTTGCTAGTCTGTCAAGAGCGCTAGGGTGTCCAACCACTAAGCAGGAGAACGATTAGGGTCCTCAACCAAAGCCTTTAGTTCTGAAAAGAACCTAACCGCAAGGCAGCGGTTAAGGCGGATTGGAGGCCCATTAACTTGGATTAATTATACTTCCAACACGTTTTATCGACTGAGACGCCGATTCAAGTCGAACCCCCAACCTGGAGGACCAGGAGACTGAACTTCGTCTGACCTCTACCCATTGACCAGGTATGATTAGGTCTTTGGCTCGGAAAAGCCATCCTGCGTAGCTCGTTGGGTCATAGAGGTGTACAAGCCATCGCACCACTTCAAGGTGCAGTCTCGTCGTGATGGTCGGAGAGGCCAAGTCTCGCAACCGTAAAGCGGAACACTACGAACTGCGGCGATGTACACCCTTCCCTTAAGGAACAGTCGGATGTCATGGCGGCGCCACATGTGTCGTAGGTTGGCGAAAGCTGCTCTAACTTTCGCTATTCGCAATGTGATCTCATCCCCAACACTACCACCAGCTGCGATCAAGTTCCCGAGGTACTTACAGTTATTAATCACTTCCAGCTGATCACCACNCACCACAGATGGTGAGTGCAGGCACAGGCTCTTGCCAGTATTGAACAAGCACTTTGCACTTGGAAGGTGCAAAGCACATACCATATCTGGATACCTCTATCGCCAAGCGGTTCAAAGCTTCTTGGACTGCCTGTGTGTTGTCACCTAGCAAGGCGATGTCATCGTCATATTCCAAGTCAAGGACTCTGTTCCCGGGGAGGAGTTCAACTACCCGTTTGCTAGACCGACCAAAGCATTCTGAAGAACATCCTCTGGGACAAAGTTGAAAAGGAATGAGGATATAGGGCAACGTTGTCGAACTTCACTGCAGACAGCGAAGGGTGGCGAAAGCTGGCCATAGGCCCTAATCCGACCTGAGGTATGACGATACGACTCTTTGAGGGTCGACACATACTTCTCAGGTACCCCATTTCTCAACAAGCATTTCCCTAGTGCGGTCCTATCGACGGTCGAAGGCCGCGCGGATTTCTAAGAATACAATGATCGTTGGTCTTTGGTAGGCATGACGGTGCTCAAGCAGCTGTCGGAGGGTGAAGATTTGCTCGATACATCCACGACCGGCGCGAAACCCAGCATGCTCCTCGCGGGTCTGCTCTTCATGCATAGTGTGAAAGCAGCGGAGAATGGCGGACGCCAACAGTTTTGACGCTATTGGGATAAGGCTTATACCCCTATGATTGGCGCAGTCGTTGCGCGGGCCTTGTTTGAAGATGGGGACAACAATTGATTTCCCCCATGAGGAGGGGACTTGCTCAGTGTTCCACACTTTAGAGAACAGAACTTGTAGTTCTCTAACAAGCTTTATTCCACTATCATTAAATAGAGCAGGGGAAGGCCATCGGAGCGCGGCGCTTTGTGACGTTCCAAGGCTTGGATTTCCGCCTCAGAAGGTGTGTCTGTTGTGGCAAACCATGGAACGTGTGCCGGAAGAGCTGTGTGAGGAGCCGACACTGGTGGCTAGCTAAACTGTGTCTTGAAGTGCTCCGCCCTGCGTGCAAAACGTCTCTGTTGATTGTGAATGGGCGAACCGTCAGCTTCGCAGATCGTTTTGCTCACATCCAAGGCTTTCCTACCGGTGACCCGAATGAGATGAATTTCCCATGGCGGCAGCATGTTCCATCTCTGACGCGCGTTGAGTCCACCAGATCTCGCGGTCTCTGCGTAGTCTTACGTCGAGGTTGACTCGTTGCTCGTCGTATTTCATCATGCTCGCTCCCGGTCGGAATAGACCGACGTGCATCGAGAAGGCGTAGAGATTCCGCAGAAATCCAGGGTGTCGCGGCACGATGTGTCAGACCACAAATAACTAAGCCAACAGAATGCAGAGCATTCTTGATAAGCGACCAGCGCTGGTTAACGTCATCGAGTGGGGTTAATTCTAGCTTTTCAGCTAGTGCGTTCTGAAAGACAGTTGGGCGTGCTGGTTCAGACAACTGATCACAGTCTAAACGTCGATGTGTCAGGCGTTTGTAACACCAACCGAAGCACATGGACAGCTTGGCG